GACTTCGTCTCACCTACTTTGGTCATGTTGTAAGAAGGGACCATTCCCTGGAGAAGGATGTCATGCTTGATAGGGTGGAGAGTCGACAAAAGACGGGGAGGCCTTCAACGAGATGGATTGACATGGTGGTTGCGATGATGGGCTCAAGTATAGCAGGGATTGTGGGGTTGGCACGGGATCAGCCAGTGTTTCGTTCTGCTGTGCGTGGGGTCAAGTCGGAAACGACTCGACGGCACTTAACAACAACGACACATATGTAACTGCATGATATTTTTTGGTTTTTTTGCTCTTTTTATATAAGTGAGATCATAGAATATTTGTCCAGTTGTGATTGACTTATTTTACTCAGCATAATGTCTTCAAGCTCCATCCATGTTGTAGCATCTATCAAAACTTCATTCCTTTTTCTGGCTAAGTAATATTCCAATGTATGTATGTACCACATTTTGGTTTTCCATTGATGGACATTCAGGTTGCTTCCACCTTTGGGCTATTATGAATAATGCTGCAGTGAACAATTGGTTTATAAATGGTTGTTCTTGTTGCTGGAAAGCTGTCTTTTTGATGTTCTTAATGTAGAGTCAGACAAATGTTTTCTGATATTTCTTCAGACAAATTATTAAACCTCCATAAGTCTGTTTCTTCACCTACAAAGAGGAAGAATAATGTGAATAGTGTTTGGCACCTCATATATAAGCATTGAATATATATTAGTAATTATTATTATTTTTAGTGAGGTTGTTGTTAGTTGCCCTTGTGTCAGCTCTGACTCACGGTCAGCAACCTTACATATAATTGAACAGAGCATTGCCTGTTTTTGCACCATCTTCATGATCATTGGTATGTTTGAATTCACTGTTGTGGCTGTTGTAGTCAATCCATGTCATTGAGGGTTTCCTTCTAAGATTTGTTTGTTTTTCTGGCTGTCCACAGTTTATTCAATATTCTTTGCCAACACTGTAATTCAAATGCTGCGTCGTTTCTTCTTTTGTCTTCCTTTTCCTTGGCCATCTTTTGCATGCATATGAGGTAATCGAAAAGATCATAAGTTGGGTCATCAAAGTGCTATATTTGTTTTCTAAAAGTTTAAAGTGGTATTTGCAGCAGATCTGCCTAATTCAGTATGTTACTTGATTTCTTGACTGAGGCTTCCATGGACATTGATTGTTAACTGACAATCTGTTCTTTGTTTCTTACTGTGGGTGTTTCTAAAGTTTGTTCCAAGAAAACTTAAAAGCCAAGTCCCAGTCAGTAAAGTTTAAGTGTACATTGTTGTTGTTATTACTTACTGTCGAGTCGGCCCCGACTCATAGCGACCCCTCCTTGGGTTTCCGAGAAAGTATCACTTCGGAAGTAGGATTGCCCAAGCTTCCTTCTGAGGAGTGGCTGGTGGGTTTGAACCGCCAGCCTTCTGGTTAGCAGTCAAGTGCCTTAGGCACTATGCTACCAGAACTCCTAAGTGTACATTAGATTGTGTATAAATTCCAGCTGGTTCTTCCCACAAGGTTGTAGATGTTACCCTTCAGGTTAGACTTGTTACTTTTCAAGTTATACATTATAAAAAGTGAGTATATGAACATTCACTCCAACCATTACTTCATACTGAAGAAAATAAACCATGAGTTTAGAATTTGGAAAAGGCTTAGTGCTCATAAAAAATTAGCATCTTCAAGTCATGGTGGCTGAAAGATAGTGTTGGCTTTGCATTAATTCCTAAACTCATGTTGATGCCATTCAAAAGCCTGCTTGCTCCCCCTTTTGTTATTAATTAGATTTTTATTGTATTTAAAAAATTCCTTGAACTTGTAAAAACTTACTTATATCTGTTCCTTTATTCACGTAAATGTTTTCAGAGATGCTATTAGTATACACTCTTCTATTTAGTTTCTTCATTATCATTATTTTTATAAAGTAATGAATGTAAAATTTCTAACTTCTAAGCCTGTGTTTCCCAGCTGCAAAGCTACTTTTCTTTTGTAAACAGAATTTTTTTTTAGTGTGATAATGGCATGTACCTCTCTTTATTATATTACTTGAGATTATGGCCTAAATTTATAATATTTAGTTTAGCTGTGTATTATTAAAATTTTTTTTTTTTTTTTGTTAGAGCGATGTCACCAGTGAGCTGAGCACCACAATTATTCAAGCCAGTCCAACTCCACCAGAGGAACACACTGTGGAAAATTTGAAAGAAAAAGTACCATTTCAAGGTAAAGGAAAAAGAACATTATCATATTTTATTCAGAACAACTTGGAGAAGAAAAAAGTGACTGAAACTACTTTCCTGAGTGGTAAAACTGAAGATGTAAAACCAAACTTTAGAATGTGTAAAGATCTTTCTTCTAAAAGTGAAGATCTCTTTGAAACTAGTCCAGTAAGTTTGGCATCAAACCCTCATGAATTGGACCAGATCAATATGGCTTTACCCAGGAGGGCATGTCTCAGCCATCAGGCTCTGTCAGCTACTGTGGACCCCTGTGTGTCATGCCCAGAATCTGTTAACAAAGGTCAAAGAATGACTTCTAAAGATATGTTAACTGCCAGCAGTGAATTAAGTGGCCAGATTCCCAACCAGACAGCTCCTGATAACCAGTGCAGCCCTATCTCCAGCTTTGAGGGCCAATGCTCTGCTCCAGAGGTAGACCACCTGCCTGTTGCCATTCCTACACTCTTAACTGGACAATCTCTGACCACAACGCCTTTTGCTCAACCATATTTGGGGGCACTTCCTTCAGCTGGAAATGTAACTTTGCCCCCATGCCACATTGGTGGTGCCACAGTCTGTGGTTACTTAGGAGGCTGTCCTCATTCTGCTCTCCTGGAAGAGCATGTTCAGAACTCGGTAGCTGTGGGAATTTGTCTAGGACAAAATTGCAGCTCTGGGTTGATGGGTACTACTTCCCTTTGTAACCCATATTCTAATGCCTTAAATCAGAATCTTCTAAGTACAGCAAAAGCTTTTCCTATGCAATCTGTTGGTTCAAGCTGTGGAATTGGACCATGGGATTCAGGAAGGATATCAGAATTTGGTAAGATACTTTTCTCTGTTACTGCTCATTGTTGCTATTATTTAACAGTTGAGTTTTCTCAAACTAGACCACTTCTTGTGTGTCAGGTTTTTGTCTTTATCCTGATTGAGAACACAGATTATATATATGTATATATCTATCTATCTCTGTGGCAAGAGTCCCTGAAGGTATTTTAGAAAAACTAAAATTCATGCAGGTGAAAAGTTGCCTATGCCTTTATCTTCCTTATCTCTCTCTTTTGCTCTGAACTTGGGTTTCTGTTACACTTTGAACCAAGAAATAGTCCAATTTAGAGTTGATCCCTAGATGAGTGAGTCACCTTTTACCTTTTAAGTCTTTTGGAGAGTGTTGTGGATTGAGTTTCGTACCCCAGAAAGTTACATTGAATTGCTATCATCTGTTCTATTAATATGACCCTGTTTGGAAATAGGGATTTTCTTGTGTTGATGTTAATGATGTCATATTAGAGTAGGGAGTACCTAAACAAAATCTCTTTTCAGTGGTGTCTTCATAAAAAGATCAGAATAGACACAGATGTACATGGCAAATGCATCTACAAGCCCAGGAACACCATGAATTGCTAGTAGCGAAAAGAGACAAGAATCTTCCCCTATAGCCCACAGAGAGTAGCTTTCTAATCCTACTGAATTTGGCCTCCTACTCTCCAAAATTGTGAGATAGTAAGTTCCTGTTCTTTAAAACAACCCACTTTTATTTTTGTTCTAGCAGCCCTAGGAGACTTAAGACAGAGTGACTGTGTGACAATGAAAGACAACTCTTCCACTCTTTTCTGTGGTGGCTGAACTGTACCCTGACGTTCTTTCTAGTCCTTTCATTTCTCTGTGGTTTTACCTCCTGATAGTCACTCTGCTAAACCAGAAATGGATGCGGCACTTTTCCTGATAAGACATGTATAGTCAATAGTGTGTTGTCTTTTTCTCTGCTGACTTCTCTGATAAAATCATCCAAAGTAACTACATAAGGATGGTTAAAGATTAGTGATTGCTCTAAGTTGGTATATACATCTTGAAGTTGTAGCCACTCTAGTTTTCTTTTAGGTTAGACAAATTCTTAAAAGTTATGGAAGAAAAAAGAAAGAGGTGATTACTAACAAATAATAAATCAAAGAGTTAGTTAGCTATAAATTGTGGATTTGATCAATTTTAATGGAAATTTTTTCCTGAGCTGATACAGAAGGAAAATGTTGTTGGCAGGACTATGCTAAGGCTTATACAATGTCAAAGAACCCAAAACATTTGGGGCACTTGTGCAAATACAACTCAAATCAAACAGTTTCTGTCAAGTCACTTCCAACTGTGTGTGCCCAACTAGAATTGTGCTCTACAGAGTCTTCAATTACTGATTTTTGGGGAATAGATCACTAGGCATTCTGAGGCACCTCTAGGTAGACTCAAACCACCAACCTTTTAATTAGCAGCTGAGTGATTTAACTATTTGCACCACCCAAGGACTCCTGGGTATAAGTAGGTAGTTTTCCATAATTTACATTTAACCAATTGTGCTTTTAATTGAGTGTTTAATATAATTTTCATTTTGAGTATGCTTTATTCTTACCCAGGGAATGTAAGAGTACCTGAGGAGTTGAAGTTTCCTCATGCTTGCTGTGTTGGTATAGTTTCCCAAACCCACCTCACTGTCTTGAATCCAGTTAACCGCTGGTTACAGGTCAGCATTGGGGTGCTCAGTCTCACTGTTAATGGGGAGAAGGTAAGCTTTCTATATCTTTCTCATTTGACTTAACAGTTAATTTATGATTAAGTGCTTGATTTCTCCTCTTTCTAGTACTTCCTTTTATACTATGGCGTCTTTTCCAACACCCTATTTTTTTTTTTTT